TAGTACACGGGGCCTCCAAGTCCTTCCTGTGTCTTTGGGGTTCTGTGGCGTGAATGGGCTTGTTTCTTAGCATGCCCCTTGCAGGTATTTACTATGCGATTTTCTTAGCCCTGTTCACTTCTCCATTCATTTCCATCTTCCAAAGATGTGATGAAATATCTCACTTGCTGTGGTCTCCTCTCTCATTCTCTTTGTCCTTGCGCTTATACCCTTTTATTTCTTTGTTCTTATTTTGGTGAGGTTTTGGGAGAAAGCAGAGATAAAAGCATGTGTTCAATGTGCCATCTTTAACCAGAAATCTTCTGCCCCATTAGTTATCCAACCAGTGGCAATCTAGCTTTTCCCATATGAGTAACCTGAGACGGTGCATCTCAACGTCCTCATGGCCTCTTCAAAAACCCAGGGACACCTTCAGCCCTGTCTACTTTCCCTCTCACTGTCACTGTCCTATGCTGCTATCCTCCTGACCTTTCTCCTACTCAGGCCATCTCTTTTCAGATGTTTTCTCAGAGACTCCTTTCCTCTGTCCACTCCTTTAATGTTGACTGTGTCCGGGGTCCTCTTTTATCTTTCGTCTAGCCACCAGCCCTGGTAAACTCATTTCCCCAGACTTTTTTCTTCCATTTTTATGCTGGTGACTCCCAAACCATCACCTCCAGTCTAGACCTTCAAACTCATTTATCCAACTGTTTCCTGAATATAACCTTTAGGTGATGCACAGGAGCCTAAAACACAGAACCAAAATTCTCTTTCTGCTTTTCACACTGTCACCTGTCCCCAGGTCTGTTCTTGCTCTTGGATTCTTAATGTCATTTGCTGGCATCACCACCTAACCAGTTGCCTAAGCTAAGCCCTTGTTAATATTTTTATATACTAAAAAATATACAAAACATTTATTTATGTAAACATATACATTTACATATAAATTTTTATTTTAGGAGATTTCAAACATATATAAAAGTAGAGAGAACAGGTTTTCTCAACACCTAAGTTTATTATGACCACATGGCCAATCTCATTCATGGTGACACCCACTTCCTTCCCAGATTCCATAACGGACTCCCCAGGCATCATGTTACCTCATCAGTACAGGGTGAGTACTTGTCTCTAAAAGGTTAAGGCCTTGGAAGTCTCGCTGACTGTTCTCTCTTACTGCGAACACTGACTGACGACAATTGGTCTTGAGGGCTCCCCACAATGGGGCACACGGGCCACTGGCCCTCATAGATCTCCTGCTCTCACACCCCACGTTGCGGCTAGACCACACGACCTGGTTCCCTGAAGATCCCATCAGCTCTCTGCACATGTTGCCCTGCCACCTGGAAGTCCCTTTCATCCCCTCTTCCCCTGGCTGGTTTATATGGTGGCAGGAGGAGCCTCTCCCTGACGCTGTGTCACTTCTACTGCAGTGCTTACAACACTGCACTCTACCTGGACAGCAGCTGTCTCCCTTCCAGGCTGGGAGCTCTTTGAGGGGAGAAAACATGTCTTAGCTCTGAATCACTAAAACTTAATACAGTGCCTGGGAAGAGGTAAGTCTCACTTATTTGTAGAATGAGTGAATCAATTGAGGGACATTTCAGGGAAATAAATGAAAGATTAAATAGCAGGGGAAAGGATAGGGGAAGACTGGGGAGGAGCAAAGGACACAGAGGGATTGAAAACTCCAGAGTTTCCAGTTTGGGAGTCCAGGGAACAGTAATAGCAGGGACAGAAATGGGAGAAACTTGAAAAGCAAGCTGGCTTTCGAGAGGTGATAATGAAATCTGAAATTTCGTCCATGCTACTGTAATGTACTGGTGGACTAGCCAACATCACACAGTGATTTAGGAATAGAAAGATGAAGGGAAATATTCATGGCAGAACTGGAGGAGAGCACTGACATGACAGAGGGGCGCATGGAAAGTAAATGGCAGCATTATGGAATGAACTGGGATCCAGAAGGAGCCCTGAGAGCGCCTGTCTGTAAGTGCATGCACAGTGGCATTTCTTACTGGTCTACACAGGGACTGGGTGGCCATGTACATGAAAACACTAGATTAAATGAGTTAATACTCAGAATAGTGCTTGGCACATAAAAAGTACTCAAGTCTTAGCTGATGAGGATCATCTTGTCATTGTAATTTGGCCTTTGGTAAGGGTCTTTTAAAACTCGTACCCTCTGACCAGAAGACCCCTGGCCTTGTGGAGCTTGTGAGAGTCTCTATCTTCCTCCCTGAAGAGGGACCAGGACAAGAGATTTTGATCTAGGACCCATTTGGCAAGAGGTGGTAGCTGAAGTCCTGAGATCAGCTGCTCTGTTGAGGAAGAAAATGTTAGGGGGGGGGACAGGAACTGTGGGGTGAGTCCAGGGGCACTTGTGCTGGGAGCAGTGGGGGGGGCAGACAAGAAAGCAAGTACCTCGCCAGAGCTGCTGGGAGAGGCGACGGAGCAAGGAGGTCGAAGGAGCAAGGAGGTCATGGATGCTGGGAGAGGAGAGGCTGCTACAAAGGCCTCGTTAACAGGCTCAAAGCAACAAGGTTGGGAAGGATGAGCTCTGAGCCAGCCCCAGGGTCTGACAGAAGAGGCACATGAGTGATGGAGTAAAGCTTCAGTGGTCGAGAGAGGGTGTGATATAAGCAGCAAATGCTTTAGATAATTCATTTGAAAAGGTTACAGGCTGCAGCGTGGAAGGGACTGTAATGTGAGTCCTGACAGGTTAGCGAGGCTGAGTGAAGGCAGAGGAGAAACAGGGGAGAGTGCAGGCTGAGTGGGGAGGGAGCATGTGGAGAAGTGAAGGAACAGGGCCCCCTGCCTGGGCAGAGGGTCAGCCACACACTCAGATGACCAGTAAGGATAAAAGGTCAATGCAAGTGGTGTTCAGGAACCTTCTATAAACACACACACTCCCTTGTGCTATAGACAATCCTCACAGACTCCACTCCCCACCTCCTCTCTGGTAGAGAGCTCAGACCCAGAGTGAGGTCTAGGAACCAGGGGCCCCAGTCCCTCTCCCCCGTACCCTCTGGCCAGTGGGGGCGCTAAAAGCCTGTCTTGCTATAAAGCTGCACTGCCCAACACAGTAGCCACTTGCCACACGGGGCTATTTAAATTTAATTATGATACAATAAAATTTTAGTTCTTCAGTCATTCTAGCCACATTTCAAGTGTTTAACAGCCTCCTATAGCCAGAGGCCACTGAACTCAGCAGAGAGAGAACATCCCATCCCTGCGGCAGTCCTAGTAGACACTGCTGCTCGTCTTCCTGGCGCTTCCCTCCTCTCCTACCTCAGCTCCTCCACCTCACAGAAAGTTTCCTCTGCAGCCCTCCCAAGGAGCCACCCAGGTCTTGGTGGACAGACTACAGTTTGGTTCCAAGGAAGAGGTTTCCTGACTGTCTCAGGACTGAGTTGCTCAACACTCCACTAACTGTACATACTTCCTTCAGCCTCTAAGGACACAGACACATGAACTTGTGCCTTCTGCTTGGTCCGCTCAGGGTTACGAGCATTCCCACAGAGGGATGGCACCTTTGCTGAGCTCAGACATTAGCCAAGTCCTGCTTGTGGACCTCCAAACAAATGGCAGGCTCTGCATGCCGAACGTTCAGGGTCTCCACTGCTCCTGGCTTCACCCTCTCTCCACGACCTTCCCAGTCTCCTCCGCCCAGGACAGTCTGTTCTTTCTTGGGCTTTCTAGTGACAAACATGCAGTTGCCAGGAGCCTCTATACCTAGGGGAGTTTGTCAGACATGTTGGGGCAACAGCCCTGGGAGGTGGGAAGCAGAGGATGACAAAGCTGGGAAGGACCCAACCCTCTTCCAAGTCAACCCCTCATTTGACAGATGTGACTGTGGGTTACTGTGTTGCCTAAGTGACAGGACGCAGTGCTGGAGGGTCGAGGATGAAAGTTAAAAGGCACACCATCTCCAGACACTAGAGTTTCCAAGACAAGCCTGGGGGTTCCGCCTGATCTGCATTCCTGGGGCTGTTCCTGAACTTCTCTGCCTTGGCTGATGCTTTGTGCCCTTTCCGAGATACCATCTTTTTTACAAAAAATGCAACGAACGACACCCATGGATTTCCTTCCACCTAAAGGGCAACTGGGCAAGCACTGGATGTGGTCAGGGAGAGATAATGACTCCTCCAGGGACACCGCCACCCGGGGAAGCTGCCTCTGACCCTTCTTTCCAAGCTCCCTTCTTGGGCCATCTCTCCTCTTGTGGTTGCTCTGGTTTTGATCACTTCTTACGAGGGAGGGAAAAGTGAGGATGGAGTTCTAGTTTGGGCACAGAACAACTTCACAAAAAATAGCGAATAACTGCCAAAATTTCTCAAGGGAAAAGAAAGTCCCCCAAGGAGCTGGAGGTGGGGAAACACCACATGGGAACTCAGGGAAAACTGCAGACAGATGGTCCTCCAGCACAAGTTTCCCAGTCCAGCATCCCTCTTTTCTGGGAAGGTGCCCAACCACTGTGCTCAACACCAAACCCCTGTCTCTCACTTACAGACCTCAGATAGCCCTGGTGACCCTGGGTGAGATGGAGGCGGGTCAGATGGGCAGCTACATCCTGGGGAGACACCCACGTTCTCCTCTGTCTGACCCCCAGCAGGCCCCATGTGACTCTCTGCATTAGCCAAGGTTGGGAATCAAAGGAAGAAATCCCCAACTCCTTTACTTTGTCTGGCAAGCTCTCAGCTTAGAATTCAAATGGACATCTTTCAACTCGTGCCTAGTCTCCCCAAGTCCCAACCCCACTTCCCCACCAGCCTTTCTAATCAGTTGCTCAGCAGCTCCTTTCCATGACTAGTAGCTCGGGAGAAAGGTCTGTTTAAACAGCCAGGGGGCCAGCCAACTCAGAAGCAGCAACATGTCCTAAAATGGTCACAGAAAACTCCACAGGTTTGGCTGAAGCTCAGCTCTTAAAGGAAGGGGGCAGGACCCAGGGAGGGTGAGATCCCCACTACCCGCCCCAAATCTCAAGCCCAAGATTACGTACCCCCTTTCTGTGGACTACTTACCATTCCACAGTACCTCCAGGGAGTGGGGGGACAGTGGGATAGCCTTGTTCTCTTTCAACATGGGGCTAGCGTAGGAAGCTAAGTAAGGGACAGATGTCCAGATCTGTTAAAGGAAACGGGTGGTGGTGGGTGAACAAAGACTGGCCCAACTCTCTCACTAACTCGGTCCTTAGGGCCCAGGTCTTTGTATTTTTCCTTTCCTCACCACCTTCTTTCATTCCTGAGGCTCCTGCTCACACCAGGGAGTGTTCCCTCTGGCACCAAATCAAGGAGCCGGAGGCAATGGCTGTGTCCAGGGTGGAAGATGAGAGCCAGAGCCCCTGAGAGTTCCAAGGTACACTCAGGTCCCATTTACTCCCTACAAATGGTTTGGAAACTTCAATTAAAGTGCTGAGCCTGCTTCCTCATTGGTAAAATGGGTATCAGCTGGGATGAGGATAAATGAATGAATGAAATTTATTAAGCACTTACAACATGCTAGGCAATGGTCTAGGCATTTAGCCCCCTCCCTTGGTCCCTCCATGCAGGCTCCCTGCCCTGCCAACACATGTTCACCTTGGCTGCATTGACGAGTCTCCAAGCATTGAGCAGGCCAAATCCATGCTGGTGGCTGTGGCTGAAGCCTGCCTCATTGGTGACCCAATCCGCATGGAGATCCTTGTACTGAGAGGGCAGAGGTCCTGATTAGTCTCTTGAGTTTCCAAAGTAAACTCAACAACCTAACTCTGGCTTTCCTGTTCACCCTGCTGGCTGATCCAATCCACACTCTCCCCACTAAGGCCACTGGGAATGGGTTCCCCAAGGAATGCTGGGAGGAAAGGTCAAAGCTCCATGATGTCACCACCCAATGGCCTGCTTCCAGAGAAGGAGCCAGGAGTCAAGCTCCAGAGAGGAAGCCCAGCCAGAGCTCTCCTTTGCAGGTACAACGGCATCATCAGAATAGTTATGAATGAGTTGAGGTCTCTGGTCTTAATGAGGTCCCCACACCTGTTCTATACACATGCAACTCTGAAAGAGATGTGCACCTAACACCTGGAACATTTAGAATCTGAAGCTCCCTGACACCTGTTAAGTCCTTGGAACCAGAACTCTGGGGTAGAATGGGCCAGGACATGTGTCTACCAGGCAGCATCTCACCTGGATGGCTGTGAAGACAATGATGTGCTGGACATCGCGCCACGTGAGGCAGGGCCGCACCTGCAGCATGAGGGCTATCATGCCAGCTGCCAGAGGGGCTGCGGCTGAGGTCCCTGTGTGGCCCTCAGTGCAGCCTGTGCCCTTCTGAAGGTCCCAGTCTGTGGTCACCTGGGACGTGAAATAGGAGGGGCAGTGGGTTAGATACTGTATTCACAGGTGCTGTGAGGGTGCGGTACAGGCTGGTCCTCAGAGCATGTCTCTCAGGTGGGCCCTTCCTTTGTGAGAGCTGAGACTTTGACCAGAGGGAGGCCCACTAGCCGGTCAGAATGAAGGAGCTCCTCAATCCTTCTGTGCCTCACAAGGAATCTCAGGAGAACAGAGAAAGGCAAATACAACTGAAGGAGGACTTATGAGGGCTGGTAGTGAGGGAAGGAGATAGAGGCATGTGAGAGGCCTACGTGCAGGGGAGTGTCCTGATTCCTGTTGCTCTAATGAGCCATTCCCAAAGTCTCCACCCCAGCCCCTACTCCCAACCCTCCAGACCCCACAACTGTGCCAGATAGAGGAAGTGGGCAGGGAGCTCCTGGGCCCCGGCTGGAGCTGGGACAACGGTGACAGCACCATTCGAGGAAATACAATTTGGCGGCTCAGCAATAAGGAGCTGCAGTGACAACAGTGCAAACAAAGGGAGTGTGTTACGGGGGGGGGGGACGACGGACGGACTGTCCCCTGCCCATCCTGCGGGCCAGTATGGATCAACGTCTATACTGCCTGGCTGCCCTGGCCTGTGGCAATTGACAGGACAAGCTGCCTCACTGCTCTGGGCCTGATACCTCGGTGTGGTTTCCGGGAGTTCCCCCTTCTCTACTGTGGTTCTGGGAGGGAGGAGAGAGGCTGTGGGGAGGGGGAGAGACGGCATCTGTCTGGTCTCAAGTTCTTTTTATGCTGCTATTGACCCTGGAACTACAAAGAGTTTAACTGAGGAGCCCTAAGTCTTCTCCACTCTGTGGCACTTTGGATCTAGCACACGGTGCCAATATTAAGACCAGAGAATGTTATTCTTCCAACCTTCTCTTCTGGGTCAGAAACCAGGGTCCTAACTTTTGCCAAGAGCTGCCCTTTCTCCACTGTACTCACTGCTTCCCTCCCAGCTGTTACAGCAGCTGCAGGAGATGTGACTTTCACCCAGATGCCGCACACTCCCAGAAGGAAAGGAAGAAACTCTCCCCAGAGGGAGGCCTGCTCTGTGCCAGGGAGCAGACTGCTTGTTTCCTGTTAAGGAAACAGCCTCACAGTCTGGTGTGTAGCTGTGAGTTCTGGGAACCTGCTGGTGATAGCAGGAGCCCCAGGCGCCATTGGGAAGTCCAGGGGAGTGCCCTGGGCAGCCAAAGGGTGGCAGCATGAGCCTCCACACCCTGCCCTCAGGAAGACAGCTTCACCAAGCTGCTCACTGACAGAACTGGCAACAGGAGCGTTCCAAGGCGAAGACATCCCAAAGATGGAAACTTGGCGAAACAAACTCTTTTCACTTCTGGACAAGCTCCAGTTCCGATGGAAGGTGGAGGTGGGGGTGAGAGGTGGAGTTTAGTTAGGACAAAATCCACCCCCCCACAGAACAAGACAGAGTCATGCCTGGGAGCCCTGTTGGTTCCTGGGTGGGGCAGGGATGAGCGATTCTGGAGAGTTCTGCCAGGGCGCCAGAGCACAGTATGTTCCTGCTCTTGCCCAGTCTGGCCTGGTGGTGATGGGGGTGCCCTCTGCACCCAGATCCCCGCCTGCTGAGCAAAACCTCTCTTGCTATTGGACTTTATTCCACTCCCTCTTCTATTCTCCCCAGGGCGCGAAGGGGGGCGGCAGGGGTCAACTGGCCCAGAGTCTTGGAACATTGTGTTAACCAGAAGTCATTTACTGGCAGAACAAAATTTCAGATTTGGAAAGGGAATTTGGCCCAGCAGGGGACCAAGCAGCCTAATTCCCAACGGCCCCAGAGAGACCTCCCACCGGCCATCACCACTGGGGAAATCTGACACACCTGGCTGCAGCCCAGTCCTGCCTGCAGCCCTGGCCCACTTCATTCTGTTATGGGCAGCAGGGCCGGGCAGGGAGCTCTGGGAGGATGGCCCAGAGACTTGGCTTGAAGACACTGGGATGAAGCTGAGCCAACCGGGGGCAGGCACTGGACCCTGAATTCTTTAAAAGGTTCCCATAGCTCGCGGAGCTCCACTCCCTTGCTCTCAATCTCATTTGCTGTGGCCCCAATTTTAGTCCAAGGAAAGAGCTCTCTCTTGGGCTGACAGAGACACCCCCTGACTTCTCATCTTGCCTATCCCATAAACACAACCACTAGAGCTCACTCCTGATAATGAACATGACCAGAACTCAGTATTTACATAAGGGCTGAAGTGCAATGGAATGATTTTTTTAAGCCCACAAAAATTAGCCAAAGCCAAAATTCTACCAAAGAAAGACATTTCAAAGAAGTTCTTAAGTCAGCGTGACGCTTAGCAGTTCCTCTAACAATATATAAACCTGCAAGTTAAAATTTTAAAGATAAAAGTCATTTTCACAGATGGTTCGAAGTCCTCAGCTCTGCCCCCTCAGAGGCAAATCTGCTGGGGAAGAGGAAGCTGAGGGCAGGACAGGGAAGCAGGATGATGGGACAGAGGCAGGGAGTGGAGGGCCGCGAGGCACTTACGATGCTCCGGAGCATCTTGTCCCCACCACTGAAGGTGACCGCCAGCATGGACGCACACTCCTCTGCATAGAAAGGCATTCGTCCCTCCTCATCCACAGCACCTGCAACAGAGCAGGGGCCATGGGAGCTGAGATAAAAGCCTGATAGTAGCAGAGTCACCTTTGAGTTACCAGCTGGGAGGTTGTCCTGAGTTTAAAAAATGATTTCAATGGCCCAAGTGCCCCAGAGTGCCTACACTCCTCACCTGAACAGGCTACGTCAACGGGCAGAGGGTATTCTGTGCCCTAGATACCATTCTCCCCATAGGCTTGCTCCCAGGTAGAACTGGGGGAATGCCCCCTGCACCTCCTCATTCACTCACATGCTCACTTTCCTCAGTATTCAGTGTCTCCTGTGAGACACATACCGGGCAAGGAATTCCGACAGTCTAATCTCAAAAAGCCTACACTCAGGGCGGAGATTGGGTAAATAAGTAAGTACACCTGAGATGGGGAATCTGTGGTAGGCAGCACTGATAGAGGGGAGGGAGGCAGGTGGCCCACGGGAAGAGAGGCCGGAACAGAGGCCTAACCAGCTGTACCATCTGTGATATCTCCAGATGCAGGACTGAAAGCATTCCCATGGCACAATACATCCTAAAGAAGCCCCAAGATCCTTCAAAAGCAGGGTGACTCCCTTCTCACTGTCTGGCCCTGAGAGAAGATCCTGCTCATACACTTACATACACAGCACTGGGGCTCCAAGATATAGTCCCTTCTCCATACAGTGACACACACACAAAGACACAGGCCCCTCACCACACAGTGAGTGACACACACATCAAGATACAGTCCCCTCACCACTGAGTCTCACACACACACACACAGAAGCACAAGGGTGCTACCTATGGTGACCGTGTAGATGGAGTTGGCGTAGCCATCGTAGTTGCAGTTGTCATTGTGCTGGCCCCCATTGCCACTGGCTACCACAAAGATGCTCCCAAAGCCCTGACGGCCAGCGACCACCCCGTGTTGCAAGGCAGCCTGAGGAGAAAAATGCCCAGGAATCAGTTAGGAAACTCACAGAAAGACCTCTACCTTCCATACAAATTGCCCTCTCCTCCTCTTCTGGAAAGGAAAAAAGCCCAAAGGCCCCGGGCATGGGAGGAAGAGACTGAAAGATAGACATAAGCCCTGGCCCATCTGGCTCAGCAGTGAGAGCGTTGGCCTGCAAACTGAAGGGTCCCGGGTTCCATTCCAGTCAAGGGCATGTACCTCGGTTGCAGGCTCAATCCCTGGCCCCGGTTGGGGTATGTGTGGAAGGCAACCAATCGATGTGTCTCTCTCACATCGATGTTCCTCTCTCTCTCTTCCTTCCATACTCTCTAAAAAGCAATGGAAAAAATATCCTCAGGTGAGGATAAAAAATAAGTAAAATAGCAAAAAAATAAAAATAGAGGCGGGCACGAGAAGGGGAAGGAGCTGGTAGTTAAGCAACTGTTGTCGGATGTACTCTGCTTATCAGAGCTGGTGGGGTCAGAAATGGGGAGCCAAGCACAAAATCAAAGGGAAGCCATCACAAAGCACTGCTCCATTTCCCTCTCTCAGAACCTGTGACCCCCTCCACCCTCCTGTCCAATTAGCAGTGGTCTTCCAGAAAGGAGGTGGCAGGGCTAGATGGCACAGGCCTGGCACTGAAAAGGGGGTGGGGTGAGAGGGACTGACTTGCAGTATTCTTCTAGAGGTGAATGAAGAGGGTGTTTGGGGTTTCCTAAAGTCTTCCCGTGGTTCAGTTACCTTTCCAAGCTGATGAGGGCCATCCACTGTCTTCCCATCATCATCTGGTCCCCAGCTGTTGAGAAATACCCAGAGGGAAGAGCGGGAAGCCAGTCTGTGGCAGCCCTTCCCCCGCCCATAGTGGGCCATCCCTCTGCCTGGGCTCTTACTCTCCTCCCAAGAGTTCCAGTTCAGGACCCCCATGATTAAAGGACAGAAGGTTCAAAGGTTCAGCCCCCCCACTCCAAAGTGAAAAAGAAAAATATGTGCTAAGGTTCTTTGCTTTGAAAACTTTCCCAACTTAGGACTATTTTAACCTGCTCCTAGAAATCCCTTCTCCAGTCTCAGGTAGAAAACAGAACAAAGTGGTAGACAGGGACTGGGGCCACCCTCTCCTGATCTCGGGATCTACGACTAGGCTTGAGGGAAGAGCACCCAAGGAGGGAGTACTCAACCTGTATCAATTCTCAGGTCTGAGTTCTCTATTCCTTCTCTGAAAGGAAATGTACTGTGGATGTCATGGACTTGAGGGAGGTACTGGATGGGGGAAGAACAGGTGCCATGGGTGCCACGGGGCAGCCCAATCTGTTTCTCTTTAATCCCACCTGACCCCCTGCCATAACCACACCCCAAAACTGCAGGCGTGTTTATGTACGTATGTAGAGCAGAGGGGAGAGATGTTGGGCACTCAGCTCAGCTGTGGGGGGCAAGGAAGTCCACTCTTTCCGAGAGGCCTATGAGTTTATTAAATAGCTGGTGCACTCCTCACGTGGTAACCCGATTACTGGGGTGACATGAGGCTTGAAACTAAGAACCCAGTGGCTGGGGATCTGGAGAAATGAGGGTAATGGACTGACACGCTGAACCCAAGGAGACCCCTGCTGGAACCTGCCGGGTCAGCTCATTTTGCTGTTTTGTTGGAGAACTAGTCCCAGGTGTCTGAGCCGTTCGCCCTCTCACCAGTTCCTGGCTGTCTCACCTGCAACTGTAGATGTCATTGATCTGATAGTGCTTGTTGAATGCCACGGCCTCCATGCTGTCTGTGAGGGGTCCATCTAGTAACCGGATACCTAGGCAGCAAAGGCCACATTAGCTCCTCAATAATGTGAGTCCCCTTGATGGGGACCGGGTGGTAGGGAGCCATATGTGGACATTTACTTCTCCCTCGAAGTGCTCTTGTGTTTTTTATACCATGTGTATGTACCTGTCCAGAAGTGCTAAATTTTAGACTTTAAGGATCATCGGGTCTGGTGGAAAGAGGTTGTAGGTAGCCAAGTTTCCCTTAATATTTGCATCCTTAATCATGTAAAACACAGGTGCTTCACACACAGAAGGTGCTCAGTAAATGATACTCACTGCCATGAACTATTCCCATGGATGCCTAACTTCACCCTCTAAAATGGGGTGGGCCACATCCTGGTGACTGCATAGGGACAAAAGGAGCTTTCAGAAGGGATTTGGACCCTGAAAGTTTCTGGCGCCCTCAGTAGCCTCATTTACAGAGGGCTGCTGCCCTCTGCTGGAGTGTAAGAGGAAAACAGCCAATTTATTCAGTCCATGGGTTCCAAGCGTGGGCAGAGCTTCCCCATTCATTCCTTTCACCTTCTGCCTTGATGGACAAAAACCAAAAGGTGAAGGTGCCACAGAACCACCCCCAGCCGAGGCCAGGGCTCTTCAGGCCTCCTGAAAGGATGGAGAGCAGACAGTGACCACCAGAAGGGCCGGGAGCTGGAAAGCTGGGAGACAGGAGAGGAGCCTCCACAGATAAGCGGGGTCAAGGAGGTAGGGCAGATAAGGTGTCTGGTAAACTAAAAATACAAGTATAGCACAGGTAAGTAAAGGAGGTATTGCAATGAGTTGGGTCATTGATGGGGTACAACCAAGATCAGAAAAAGGGAAGAGGAGACAGCAGGTGGGACCTGAGCCTCCATCCTGCATAAAGAGCATTCCTACTTTTGTCTGTTTTTATGGCGGGGGTTGCTGCTAAAAGCATGTCTAAAACACCACTGCACTGAGAAAAACATCAGTGAAATGATTTGTCCCATAGACATTTCTTACAAGCTTACCCTTAGTTCTATGCTGTGTGTGTGGTGGGTAGGACAGACAGTACACAATCAGGGCTGGGATAGGGAAGGAAGACTCCATCACAGGAGAAACCTAGAGGCTAGAATGAAAGATACCTGCTATGCGGCTCCCATATGCCACTCCCACTGCACAGAAGCTGTTGTTAGGCACAGCAGCAATCTCTCCCGCACATCGAGTGCCATGATGGTTGCCATTCTCCACATCCGGGTGGGGCATGGGGTCAGGGTCATTAGAGTTGAGGTCATAGCTGCCCTCAGGGCTCTGAAACATTGGGAGGGGGTGACATGTGATCACTCACTGGTTATAAGAGGTCAGGTCTTAGAGTTCAGGGAGAAAAGGGAACTGGAGTTTGGGCTTGGAGCCAGGGTAGGCCCATCTCTCTCTGCAAACCACATGGGCTACAAGATATGAGGCAGGACACCAGGGCAAAAGTGAGAAGTGCCACAGTTCTTAGGAAACTTCTTTTCCATCCACTACAGAAATGTGTCCAGAAAACTGCTCCATGACTTGGGAAACCTGGGATAAAAACGATTTAGGGCTACCTAAAGGCCAGGCTTTAGAGAGAAGAAAGTGCTCAGAACTTGTGTGGAGAGGGAAGTTGCCTAAAGGCTCTACTCTCTACTCCCCAAGGCAGGGAACTGTGACAGGAACCAGTTAGCATCACCTGGGATTCTCTCCCTTGCTGAGGGTGGAGCCACTCCACATCCTAACTGCCAGTCTGGGATGCTGGCTGGGGAAGGAGAAGATGAATACCATCCCACTCCCAGTCCCTTTTGTTTAGCTCAAGGACCTCTAAGAAAGGGGACAAGCCTGAGGCAATATGGAGGTAAGACATGGGGGTGGGAAGGGTCATTCCAGGGCCACTCACATAGTTGGGTGCGATATCCTGGATGGTGTGTTCCACTCCATCATCCACTACCACCACAGTCACCCCTCGCCCAGTTACGTTGTGTTCCCATACACCTGTCACGTTGATGTCCCTGCCGGGGCTCTGCCTGTTATTCTGCAGGACAGACAGGGTCAGGAACTGTCTCAAAGCCTTGGCAATCCAGTGACAGACAGCATAGCCCACAGAGACACAAGGTATAGCTAGCAACCTCTTTTCATCTTGGCTGCCGTGAAAGAGCCAGACTGAGGTTATGGACCAATAGGTCTAGGTGGGGGCAGAGTTAAGGAGGGACAAGTGAGAGCTTTGCCAAAAACTGGGTCTCCAGGAAAGCTTGGCAGCATTCATGGGCAATAAAGATGAAATGGCAGCTAGGCTCAAGGTTGGATATATACAGTTATTACGCCACATAACGTATATTATGTTAACATTATACAATATAATCTTAGTAGTTAACACTATAAAGTGCTTATTACGTGTCAGGAACACACATGTTAATTCATTTACCCTTACTACCTCTATAAGAGATACTATTAAAATCTCCCATTTATAGAGAAGGAAACTGAGGCACAGAGAAGTTAGGCAGCTTGCTCAAAGGCACATGCTAGTTAAGTGGCAGAGCTAGAATCTGAGCCAAGGCAACCTGGCCCCGGTACCCATGCCCTAGCCACTGTAGCTCACTGGCTCCCTAGAGGTGAGCACAAGGAAGGTGGAGCCCAAGGAAGAAACATACCACTGAAGCCCAGAGAAATATCTCTTCAGGCAAACTGAAAAGTAACACAGTTGAGAGTTCACTAAAGAATTGGATAGTCCTGGCCAGTAGTTGGTTACAATGTTGTCCTGATACTGGTTAGATCCTTGATCAGGGCACATACAAGAAGGAACCAATGAATGCACAAGTAAGTGAAACAACATATTGATGTCTCTCACTCTCAAATCAATAAGATAAGTAAATAATTTATTAATACTTAAAAAAGAATTGGATATCCAGAACCTATCCATCTGAAGCTGAAAACTGCAGAGCTGGACTTACCAGGTGCCACTGCTGTGGGTACTTGGGGTCATTGAAGTGGACGCTGCGCTTGGCTCGCTTTAGTAGCTTCTGCTCTGCGTGCCAGCGCACACCTTCATGCCTGGCTAACATGGCCTCTGCCTGCTGCCGGATGGCCTCTACCTGCTGGTCCAGCCTGAGTCCAGCTGGCTGGACAAAGAGGTAGTGCCCCTGGAGCTCCCCGATGCGTCCAGCATTCACCAGTCCTGCTGCCTGGGCCAAGGCATCTGCCTTCTGCTCCAGAGTCTCTTCCTCCCCCTTGCCTTCTAGGCTGTCCAGATGCACAGCCCAGCTTAGCCCCCCTGGGGTCTGGGCCTCAGGCCCACCTGTCCCTGGCAGGCCCATGACCCAGGGAACCAGTAAGAAGAGCCCAGCTAATTCCAGCCAGAGACAGGTGGGCAGCCCCAGGGGGGCATCCAAGTGTGGCACTTTCTGCCTCCCCTTCTGCATCAGAGCAGTAGGCTGCAGACAAAGAGAAAGGACATGAGAGATAAGAGCTGATAACTACAGTAATCTGAGAGGGTGACTGAGCTATCAATGTGCAACTGGAAACCCCCAATCTACTCCTTTCAAATGAGGAAACATGTGATCCCCTTTTTATTCAAATTTATTTCTGACCAACAGGGATAAGCATCCAGGTGGAGTGTGGGCCAGTACTACTACCAGTGAGCACCTCCATGGAGCAATGGGCCAATCTCATCTCGCTAGATAATTAAGCAGCATATCCAACTGCTAACAGGCACCATGCTGCTCTTTCCCACTGTTGCCATGAAAAGGGCTCAAAAACCCTATCACTTCCACAGATTACTGGCAGAATCATGACTGTTCTTTAGAAGAGATCCTCCTCCCTTATTTAGAGGGGATGAACATCTTTGCCCAGCTTACTTCTTGGGGTTGACCTCCCAGTGGGGCCCCATTCCCACCTGGACTCTTCGTGAGGTTGAGCTCCTGGTCTGGCTAACCACCTCACAGTCATTTTGTGCAAACGGAGAAGAGGCATCACTTTCACTGTGGGTTCTGTTGACTCTGAGCAGACTGCGGACCTGTGGACCCCAAGAAAAAAAGAAATGGTATCCTTCCAAACCCAGTGGAGTGAACAGAGGCTCACCATGAACTCCAGGACCTGTAACCAAAGAAACTGGCCAAACATCAACTACCATTTCCAAGGACCTCAAATAAGTCATAAACTGGAACGGAACTGGGACAGGAAGGCCAGATCAGTACAAACCCAGGAGCTCCGCTTCTTGTCCTAATCGTCAGACCACCTCTTTTCTTTTTCCCCAGAGGCCTAGAAGAGGGCCTGAGGTGTTGCCAAAAACTCCCCTTCAGAAAGTAGGTAGCGCCCTGGCCAGTGTGGCTGGGCGTCACCCTGCACACTGAGAGGTCGCTGGTTCGATTCCCCGTCAGGGCCCAGGTTTCCAGCTCAAACCCCAGTAGGAGGCGTGCAGAAGATAGCAGATCAGTGTTTCTCACCCTCTCTTTCTCAATAAAAACATTAAAAAAAAAAAAAAGGTAGCACTGCTTCGTAGAAGTCCAGGTGGTAGCTAACTTCCTGATTTCCGCACCAGGGACGGTGAGAGTAGGCAGGAGGCAGGGGAATGGGGAAAGCCCGAGAAGGCAAACGGAGCGGAACAGGCGCAAAGGGCCGGGGGCAGCCGGAAGCGGGAAGGGCCGCCGGCTCGGACTCGGGGCTCGGGCTTCACCGCGCGCCGCCCGAGGTTTGACAGAAGGGCCCGATCAGAGCTCAGCGGTGGGCCCCCTGGGGACGGGGACAAGCAACTGGGGGCAGAGCGCGTGCGTACCTCCCGGCGGCCGGGCTCCTTCAGAAGCTCCTGCTCCCTGCGGGAGCGGCCCTGCGGAGGGCTCAGCACCCACACGCTCCCAAGTGGATCTGACTCAGAACATCACAGGAAAATGGGGGTTTTACAAAGTCCCCCTGGAAAGGGAGCAGGGGCCGCGCGCCGCCTACCGCTGCCCTCCGGAGTTCCGCGCTCCACACCCCCTTCTCCCCGCGTCTCGGGCCCAGGCGCGCTCCCTCTCAGAGTCCTCCCCGGCCTCCCGCGGCCCTGGCGGCCCCGCGACGCTCAGGTGCCTGCCGCGCGGACAAGTGAAACAAAGCCCGGCTTGTTAGCCGACAGTGACCCACCCAGGCAGGCTCCTCGTCTCGGCGGGTTCCGCGGCGCCGGGCAGGGCGGCTGGCCGCCGCTTCCTCTCCCGCCCTCCAGAGGAGCTGCTCACCCGGGCTTCGCCGGGAGCCGTCACCCCCCGAGGCACACCTTCACCTCACTCGGCGCGGGACAGGTCTGCGAGGCTCCGGCGCCGAGGGAGCGGAGGACACACGGGCTGCCGCAGCCCGGGACCCCGCTCCCAAGACTGTCGTCCTCGCACCGTCGGCACCTGCTCGCGGGAGCCGGGCTGCGCGCCGGGCTGTTTCCGCGGTTTCCCCTCC